TTGTCTTTCTGTTTGTTTTACCTGCATCTCAGTTGGGGGCTGGTCCCCATGGGCGTGGCCCGCCACACCAATGTAGAAACATCACGAAATTCTACATATGTCAGGAAATTTTCGACATTCCCTCTTTCGACAGAAAAACCCTCTTCGCCACACAGCATGTCCAAGTGAAGAACTCACAAGTCTATGCACAAAAGAGAAACTGGGGTGAAGATAGGACAAGAGCTTGTGCGTTCTCTGGGCAAGATTTAGACATCCCATCCGAGAACTGTTGAAAATGTCCAAGATGCACGCCTGAAGTGGAAATGAGCCCTTGGGCCTCGTCGCACCACTCTCGAATCTCGAAAATTCGTGAGTCGGGCACCGCCACACAGCATCACTCGAAAAAAAAAACTTGAAACTGTTCGAGAGCTGTCAGGAAGGGGTTTTCGAGTGCCCTCTCGAAACGTTGTTTTCGCCCAGCTTGCAGCGTTGGAGTTTTCGTGATACCGCCCCTCCACACTCGAGTTCGACGTACATTTCGAGAGTTGTCAGGCCGTTTTTCGAGAGTTGTCAGGCCATTTCGAGAGGCCGGTCTAGTGTGCTATGTGGCAAAGGGCAATTTTCTCTCGAAAACTGGCCTCTCGAAAAATCCTGACAGCTCTCGAATATTTTCGAGATTCGAGAGTGGTGTGGCGAGGCCCCTTCTCGAGAGGAGTTGTAGAAACCCTTTCCCTGACAGCTCCTGAATTTTTTTTGCATCTCGGATTTTTTTTATTTTTATTTTAAACATCTCGGATTTTTTTTTTTTTTTGAAGCCCAACCAAGGACAGCCTTTCAGGCCTTTTTTATTGTCATTATAGTATTATGGGGAACCCCGTAGCAGCCACATCCGTGCTCAAGCCTCCAACGAGGGAACATGCGGGAGCTGCACCCACCAACAGGTGGGCGATAGCGGCCAGGGGTCAGCCGGTGGCATCAGGACCGAGCTTCTTCGATGGGCCAGTCACTGTGCCTCCCCTCCGGTCCCCTCACCCTATGAACATCACCAGTCTCTGCTCAATGCCACTCGGGGGGACCAACGACATATCTCTAGGTGGCAGGCGCCAAGCTTGCCCAGGAAGGGCACTCGGATTTCTTTTTTTTTTCTTTTTCTTTGTTTTTTTAAAGGGCGATGGCCGTGAGGTATTATCATCGGACTAACCAGCCCAGGTAAATTCAATCTTTTGTCTAATCTGACAACGGTGGCCTTTTCAGCCTTCGGGTGGCCTGATAGCCTTCGGGTGGCCTGATAGCCTACAGGGATCCCCCACTGGGGGGCACCGGCCAGGGGACAGCCGGTAGCAGAGAGACCGAGCATCATCTAAGTGGCCAGTCGCTGTGCCTCCCTGAGTTCCCCTCCCCCTATGAACATCAGCAGAGACTGCTTTTGAATGCCAATTGGGGGGACCAACGGGCTATCTCTAGGTGGCGGGCACCAAGCATGCCCAGGAAGGTACATGAGGCCAATGGGGATTGAACCCAAGACCTCCTGAATGCCACTTGCGTKCCTTACCAACTGAGATAGGCCGYTGGATCGCACTCGGATTTCGACATGCTGTGTGGCRAGGAGGAAATGTCRAAAATGCAGTTTTCGACATTGGTATGGCGAGGCCCTAGCACTCCCAGAATTTGGTTGGTTGAGACCGGGTAGACTGTGAGGACCATGTAGCGGACCCACCAGGTGTGGTGCTCCGCTAGTGGTAGAGATGGAGATGGAGGAAGAAGGGGGAGCAAGATGACGCACAGCGCAACTCCCACGCAGGACTCCAACGCACGAACTCCAAAAATGTGCAAGTGAAGAAGGCTTAGGTGGGTTGATGATAAGCACTTGGTGGGACCACCAGGCGGCGGCGCGTGAGGGGACCACCCTAACCGCGGGCGACGGGGAGAGGACCTCCATTCCGTGGAATCTGGACTCCATCGCCGAGTTCATTGCCACGTGTCCCAAGAGGGTCTTGTTCATCCACGAAGGGCCGGTGCCTCCTCGTCGTCGGATCTGGTCCTCTTCGGTTGCCATCGATGACAACGGTGACTTCGAGGTTCTACTCAACCAGGCACCGCTCAGTCTCTCCCCTGTCTTCATGTTCGATGAGTGGGACACGTCCTTCGGACGTCGACATAGTTTCCCTGTCGATGGCAAGAGCATGTACTTCATCGATGAACTCATCGATGAGGATGACGGCGGCACCATACTGTGGCCATCTCTGCAGCTCAGCAAGCCTCAAGAAGGCCCCGATCTTGCACCCTTCTCTGAACCATTCACACGCTTTCCCGACCTCTCCTCTCTTCACACTTCTCTCCCGCTACTGGCGGTATCTTCGCACTCGCCCGAACCCGATGCTCAAGGCACGAACATCGGTCTAGGTCCCGACCTTGTTCTTGGTGGTCTTCTTGTACTCGCTGCGGGCACAGCGTTAGTCACTCTCTGTCGTCGTCCAGATGAGGTCGTGCGAGCCCGTCCGTGTGGATGGGGCTTCCTGTGACACTGCGAAGGGTCACAGGAAGGCCCATCCACGAGTTCGTTTGGGAGAGCTTGTTGGTAGCGACGAAGAACTTCAGCCCATCTCTAGAGATCGGACAGCGTGGAGTTCGCTTCGGGGGTCGTCTGCTGGGCATCATTGCCGGCCGCCGGGGCAGATCGCCGTGAAGTTCATCAACAGCGTACTGACGCAATAATAAGGGACAGTAATTCCTCTCACAGGGGTGAAGATTCTCAGCCGGGTGCATGACGTCAACCTACAAGAGAGTATGTGCATCGCCGCTATGCTTACCGTGAATAACCGGAGCGAGGTTGTGCGACCGACTCCGTGAAGCCGTGGAAGATCGATTAAGCGACGTACGAGGATCGGGATCGGACGTCTATCTGGCAGCATTCCTCCTGAGCAAGGGTTCAAACTCCAAGCCCCATAGACGTCCCGACCGAAGACAGAGCGACGTTATCCTTACCTTGCGGTGGGACCTGAAAGCGCACCAGGCAAAATCGTTTCTAACGGACTCGGCGACTTTCGGGCGGCTTCATCACGTGAACGTTTGCGCCTTTCTGGGCTGCTGCCTACAAAAGAGGAAGTGCATCTTCGTCGATCCTTACGTAGCGGGCAAGAGCTTGTACGACAGCCTCCATCCCGCACTTGAAGATCGAGAAAGAGAAATACCAGGAGCAGGAGGCGGAGGAGGAGGAGGAGGAGGAGGAGGAGGAGGAGGAACAGGAGCAGCAACATCAGCAGCAGCAGCAGCAGCAGCAGCAGGAGGAGGAGGAGGAGGAGGAGGAGGAGAAGGAGGACGAGGAGGGGGAGGAGGAGGTGGGGGAGGAGGATCAGGAGAAGGAGAACGAGCAGGAAGAGTGGGAACATGGGGCAAGCAAGCAATGGCAAAGGAAGGAGGAGGAGGAGGAGGAAGAGGGTTGTGGGGAGAGGGAGGTGGTACAGAGGACGGAATAGAAGGTCAGCACAACCGTCTCTCCTCTCCACTTACACTGAGAGTAGCGTGTCGCCGTTGCGCTTACAAATTGCCAGAGCGCTTCGTTACCTTCATTACGAGGTTCACCAACGAGTTATCGATGGGGATGTACATTGTAGAAACGTGTTGTTGGGAGAAGGAGGTGGTACAGAGGTGAGGGTATTCTTATCGGATGCCGGTGTGGCTGCAATGTTCAGAATAGACCAGGCGACAGCCCTGGCCCCTGGGAGCTCCGTATTGTGAAATGGAAGGGTACACTTGGCTCCAGAACACATCCATCGGGATAAGCTAACAACGAAGACTGACGTGTGCAGTTTTGAAGTTGTGCTATTGGCAATGCTCACTGAGTCACTGGCAAAAGAGCGGCGCTTGCTGCTCCGCAGGAGGGCTACATCTTAACACTAGATGAGCAGGAGAGGCACCTTGCCAACCTAGATACCGTCGATCTGGAGGACGTCGTCGATCCTTCTATTAGAGAGCAATTGTATTCAGATGTGATGAGGGAAATGACAAGACAGATTCTATGTGTAGTTGTTAAATGTGTCAATCCGGACGCGAAACTGAGTTCGATTTTTTTTTTTTTTTTTTTTTTTTTTTTTTTTTTT